GGACAGCCAGTGTGAGAGGCGTCTACAGAGCCACTCTGCCTTCTGGGGAGCCAGGGTGCGCATGGGGGCCCAGTTCCACCCTGAAACCACGGCCCCAGGATGGCTGGAGGGGCCATACCCACAGCAGCCTTGGCGGTGCCTGCGTGCGTCTGGAGCACCTGCCCCCGGCTGCCCAGGGTCGCGGTGATGTTCACGATCACCCCTCCGTGGTCCTGCAACATGGGGGGGGGGGGCAGTGAGCAGGTGGCCTGAGGAGGGGGCCACAGCCCACCGGACACTCACCTGGAAAAACTTCTCATAGAGCACGCGGGACACGTTGAAGGTGCCGGCAGCATCGATGTCCAGCACGGTCTTGAAGGCGTTGAAGGACAGGGCGCTGGCAGGGCACAGGAAGTTTCCTGCAGCACCTGGAGGGTGGGAGTGGACAATGAGCAATGCTGAGGAGGGAAAAGCAGGGAACACCCGTTGGCAGTGGCCCTGGGGGAGGCACAAGGTCAGTGAGGGGGTTGTACCCCAAGGGTGTTCGGACAAACTTCTGAATAACAGAAGCAAGACAGGATTCTTTCAAAGGCTAATTTCAGCCAAAAGTGAGCCTCAACATAAACTATGGGTTAACAATCACGCATCATCAAAGTCCTGTCATACCCTATAACAGGGGTGTACCTGAAAATATCATGCTGAATGAAGTCAGTCAAACACAAAGACAAGTATTTCATGATTCCAAAACCCTAAAACCAAACCCGCTGCAGTCGAGTTGATTCTGACTCATAGCAACCCTACAGCACAGAGCAGAACTGCCCTGTAGAATCTGGATTCCAAGGTTGTAATCTTTACGGAAGCACACTGCCACATCTTTTTCCTGGGGAGTGGCTGGTGGGTTCGAACTTTTTAGTTAGCAGTGGAGCACTTAACCACCGCACCACCAGGGCTCCTACTAAAACAATAAAGCTTATTAATTATTATTGGAGCCCTGCTGGCTCAGTGGTTAAGAGCTACAACTGCTAACCAAAAGGTTGGCAGATCGAATCCACCAGCCGCTGCTTGGAAATTCTGTGGGGCAGTTCTACTCTGTCCTATAGAGTCACCATGGATTGCAATTGACTCAATGGCAACAGATTTATTTTTTTAAATTAATTATTATTATTGTTTTTTTTAAAGGGAACTTCGGGACCCAAGGTGCCTCTGACTCTGTGAACAGCCACTCCAGCGACATTCACCATTGGGAGGTCTGGGATTGTCTAGCGGTCAGAAGCCCCGTGCGCGTGAACTCACTGTTAACAAGAATGTCGATCTTCCCAAACTCCCTCAGCGCCTCATCCACTGCGGATGCGATGGTCGGGGGATCTCGGACGTCCAGACAGAGAGCGAGGCACTGCCGGCCTGTGGCCGCCACCAGCTTCTCGGCAGCCTAGAGACCAGACAGGAAGGGAGAAGTGGGCGGTGGGCAGTGCCTGGGCCTGGGGAGCATCGCTGTGGGCCTTACTTCAGGCAAGGAGCCTCTGTTCTGTGGGAAGCCAGCTCTGCTGCTTCACCGCACTCTGCGGAGGTGTGGTTTGCAGGCGGCCGCCCCAGGCCCACGATCCCCACTGACATTTCTGCGTTATTCTACACGGTCTCCTCACCTGCCCCGTCCCCAAGTCCCCTCCAGGCCATTTTCACCAGCCACAGCAGATGCAGCTGACTCCCCATCTCTGCCCAGAGACAAGGACCCACTTTCTTTGGCCGGGCCCCAGGCGGCTACCCCTCAGTGGATGGGACATGCAGGCCACCACCTAACCTCCCTGGGCCCAGAGATCTCTAGCAGCCACTCCACCACCAACACAGGGCTCCCAGGGACCAAGGGTGCTGGGAAGCCACATCCACTGAAGCCACCCCTAGGTCTCAAGACCTCTGGCCCAGGCTCCGCACCCACTCCCCAGTAGGGTCCCGAGAGGCACCCTTACCGTCGACACTCTTGGCAGACTCCTGCTGGCAATGACCGTGTGGCAGCCATGCCTATGAAACCAGAGGGCAGGTGTGAGGGCAGCCAGGCATGCAGGACACACCCAGGACGGCCTGCCTGTTGCTCAAAGTGGATCCCCCATCCCCAAAAGGTTTCTCAGGCTGCTCCACTAGCCCAGGGCAGGGGGCACAGAACTGAGCAACTGTGGTGGGCACTGTTGCCCGGGGATTCCCAGACCACCCAGGTATGCAAGCCTACCCCTAACATCCCTGGCACTGAAGCAGCATGGGCCTGCTGGTAACCCCTGCTCAGCCCCACATGCCCTGGCCCCCCACCTCTGAAGGACTCAGCCTCACAGTAACAATCACAGCACTGCTAAGCAGGTTCCCTGAAAGCTACAAGATCCGGCCTAACCCTTGAACAGCCCCAGGACACTGGCCATGCTGCTCGGGAAAGCCACGCAGTTTGTGAACCAAGTCTCCAAGGCCTCTTCCCATGGGACTCATCTCTCTGGTATGAAAAGTAGGGGTCTGGGGGACACTGTGGAGGGATCCCCAGGCTATCAACAGGCTTGCTCTCCCCCACCCCAGCCAAGCCCTGGGTGTCTCCCTGGTTCCTGGGTGGGGGGTGGCAAGGTGCCACCTGGGGCCTGAGGGTACAGAACTTGTGTCCGAGGACACTCTGCTCTCCACGTGCCAGGGTCTACCAACCCCAGCTCCACCAGGCCCTGGGAGGCCCGCAGCAGAGGCACCTGGACTTGCTGGACCCAGGGCTGCCCACACCTAATTGTGCAAGGATCTGTTCCTGGTTTGATGCCTGCCAAGGCCTCTCCAAGGGCCATCAAGGGGCACACACACGATCAGGGGACCCTGCATAAGAGGTGGGGGGCTCACAGGCAGCAGCGTCTGCATCCTCTGGGGCAGCCCCAAAATGACCACCCCTCCCCTCTTTGTGAAAATGGGGGTGCCAAGACTACAACCATATAACCACACAGCCTGGACTAACGTGTAGAAGACCCCAGAGTCCTGCCCCCCTGGGGGGCCTGTTTAGCACTTGACCCCCTCCAGACCTTCTCAGGGGCACTGTGACCCTCTCTCCAGGTGGGGGTATCAATGTGGCGCTCCCCTCACATACCAACATACTGCCCAGGGAGCCCAGGACGGATCAGGGGCCACAGAAGGGGTCGGGGTGGGGGTGGGGTCCCGCAGGGCCCTGCTCACCGCATGAAGACCTCAGCAATCCGGAAGCCGATCCCGGAGCCCCCGCCAGTGATAAAGGCCACTTTGTCCCTGAGAGAAACGAAAAAGGGGCTCTATACAGAGTTCTCGTTACCTGGGGGGAGGAGAGCAGGCGGTGACCCAAGTTTGAACTGCTGACAAAGAAGGTACGATATTTTTATAATAAAACGCTGCTTTCTAAACCCTGGCTCTCCCAGGCGTTCTGGTTCTGTGGATCCTTTCCGCCACCTACCCCTCACCCCCAGGGGTCCCCAAGCCTGCAGCTCAAAGCCGGCTCCAGCGCTAGGGGCTCGGACCGCCCAGGACAAACAGAGGCTCTCAATACTGCAAAAGTCACCAGGCCGCCGAGACTGTCTGCTCAGCCGGCGCGAGGCCCCCACTCCGAGTAAACCGCACCCCCGCACCACCTCTCCGGTGACTGCACCCGGGGCGCCCCGGCCCCTGCCCCGACGCGGCGCCCACCGGAGCAGGTCCGGGCAGAAGAGGTGGTGGTACTCGGGAAGACAATCATCCTCGTCGACGTCGGGCGGCGGCTGGGCCATGCCCTCGATGCAGGCTGGCGCGGCGGAGACAGCGAGGACCCAGTTCGGGGTCAGTGCCCCAGCTTTGGCCTCACTGACAGCCCGCGCTCGCCGGGACCCGCGCTCGAATCCGCTCTCCCCTCACGCTCCGCTCTTCCTAGCACCCTACTTGCTCCGCCGTCCGGGCCGCACGCACCCGCCACGCCACGCCCACCACTGCTCGTACACTCCGCCCCTCTCCGCACGCCCCGCCTACCGCGGGCGCGCTGCCTTCTGGGACTGCAGACGGCTGCGGGCGCAGGCGCAGTGCGTCGCGGCAGGCCGCTTCCTGGGCTTCTTTGCAGGAGAGGTCGGGTGGGCCTGGAGGTGCATCTGCTCCGCGTCCTTTTCAGGAGGATTTGCCGGCCACGCAGAGCCGACAGTCAGCTTCCGGTTTAAGGGCGGCTGCCGCGGGCCGATCTGTGCCTTAAAACGCCTGGTCTGGGGCGCGCGGCAGTGAAAACCCGGAGTTGAAGGGGACAGAAAAGCCGCCCCCCACCCCCGTCTTTGTTGCATAAACATGGCAGGGCGGGTGGGAAGCACGCACCTAGAGCCCGAGTAAACAGAAAAACGAGCGGCCTTTCCCGCGCGCGTTGCCAGACCCAGAAGGCGCCTGTCCAGTGCTAGTTCCCACAGTGACCCTCTTTGTGGTCATACCGGTCACGGCCCTTCATCTGTCCCCTCCTATGGGGGATTGGGCAGTGGCCGATGGTGGGAATCCAGGACCTGGACACCCATCACCAGGAGAGCAAAAGCTCGATTAAATGACCTCATCAGGTGTAACATGCCCACTACCTGTGACCCAGGGGTGAGGTGTCGGGTGTCAATTAAAAGGGACACTCAGCTGTTCAGCCAGCTTCAGGAAGGGGACCAATCACAGGCTCCTGCCCTGGAGGTGGGCTCCAGTTCCAAGTGGCCACAGCCCCACTTGCCCCTCTCCCTCTATAGCCTTCAGTCCCACACGGCCAAAGGAGTGTGGGCCAGGACAGCTCCGCGTCCCCTCCCCCCATTGCAGGCTGAAGGTCTCTGGACCCCTGCCTCGCTCAAGCACTCAACAAAGCTATGACCCCCTACCGGGAGTGGGAGACAGTAAGCTTTTTGCCCTCAAGGTGTTCACAGCTGCCGAGATCGCCGCAGTCCGAGCAAACCAACCACACGCACACAGGGACGCAGTGAATTTCAACGTCTCCCTTGGGGGAGGGCAGGTCACACGACCCTCTTTTGGCAACACCCCAAAGGTTGCCTGACACTTTGGTACAGAAAGGATTTGATCCGATCTGATGCCGGATTAGGACACAAAAAGGCACATACAGTTGATGGCTCAAACACCTCAGCCCGTGTGGGGGAGAAGGTCGCCAACGAGGTGGTTTGCAAAGGTGGGCAGAGTGTGGGTGTGAGCTGAGTCTCGTTGACAGAGGTAGTTGGTTCTGGCCATACGGGCGTGGGCAAGAGCAGCTGGAGCCCTCACGCTGGGGAAACACTGCTGTGGGGGCCCCGGTCCGGCCAGTCCACCAGCTCACTGCTCCGGAACCACAGCCCGATCTCCCGCTGAGCCCCTTCCACAGAGTCGCTGGCATGGATGACGTTCCTGGGTCGGGGACAGACAGCAAAGGTAAGGCTTTGGGGTGCTCCCCAGAGTTCCTGTGGCAGTCCAGGGGAGCAAGCTGAGTGACTGTGCAGCGGGGAAGGGACTAACAGAAGCCAGCACCTATCTCAGGAGCCAAGAGTTGGAAAACTGGGTTTCAGCCTCTTACCACAACCTCATGGGCCCAGCCAAACACCCGGCTTCTCAGAGACTCGTTTCCCCACCCACTGACCCGTGCCAGTTCCTCAGAGTGGCTGGGAGGACAAAATCAGGCAGCAGCGGTGGCAGGGCACGGGTACGACACAGACACCCCTCCTTGCCTCCCGTGCGTGTGAAGACCTTCGGAAGAACTGCATGGCAGACATTAGGAAGGATTTCCCGCCTCTGCAAAGTAGAGGGTCAGCAAAACTGAGGAAAACCCTCAGTGAGATGGACTAGCAGAGACGACAAAGGTGGCACAGGACTGGGCCGTTTTGTTCTGTTACACATAAGGTGGTTGTGAGTCAGGGCCAACTCAATGGCAACAAGAACCACAAAGGAGTCCCTGGGTGGTGTGAATGTTCAAGTGCTTGCTCGCCAACCCAATGGCAACAAGAACCACAAAGGAGTCCCTGGGTGGTGTGAATGTTCAAGTGCTTGCTCAGCAGCTAATGGAAAGGTTGGAGGTTTGAGCCCACCCAGAGGCACCTCAGAAGAAAGGCCTGGCAATCTACTTCTGAAATATCAGCCATTGAAAACCCTGCAGAGCACTGGCTTTACCCAAGGCCCAGCAAGATGCCAGGCCCCTTTTGCTCTCCCACCCACCCAGGTCCCTCAACCTGCACCTCGGGGGCAGGCTGTCACCCCCCTCACCCCTCCGCTGCCATGTCCAAGCGGTGAGTGTTAGGCCAGTACCTGCTGATGTGGACGCCGAAGTCTCCCCGGATGGTCCCCGGGGCGGCTTCAGCTGCGTCTGTGTCTCCGATCATGGCCCTTGAGGCGTGGACCACGTTGTGGCCTTCCCAGACCTTCAACACCAAGATCAAGGGGTTAGGGAGAAGCAGGTGTACCATGGGCTGGGCCCAGGCTTGGGGGACAATGCAGGGCACGTCCAGTCACCCTGCGAGGGCCCCGCTCACCATGGCCACCACGGGGCCAGAACTCATGTAGCTGACGAGGGCCGGGTAGAAGGGCTTCCTCCGAAGGTCATGGTAATGTTCAGCAAGGATGCTTTCCGGTGCCTGGGTGACATGGGGAGGGGGTGGGTGAGTGAGGGGCTGGGAGGTACCTCTGGAGGCCTGCCAGTCCCCCTAGGTCTCCAGGAGGCTCTGGTACCTGCAGCATCTTCATCCCCACCAGCTTGAAGCCACGCCTCTCAAAGCGCCGGATCACGTCCCCCACCAGCCTCCGCCGCACCCCATCCGGCTTCACCGCCACCAGGGTCCGCTCCTGGGTCCACGAGGGCCCTCCTTTAGAAAGGGGGGTCAAGGCTGTGTGGCTTCGGCTCACCTCCCAGCTCCCCAACCCAGGCCTCGTTGTTTCTGCCTCTACCCCAACACAGCTCAGAGGCAGCAGTGCCCACAGTGGGGGGACACCCAGGGCAGCGGGTCCCAGGGCTTCCAGCCCACTGGGGGGCCCAGCATCCCCGGGGAAGGAATCTTGGAAAGCCTGGAGACCGAAATGGAAAGCAGCAGGAGCTCTGGCCTCACTCTGACTCCTTTCTTTAGGGTGGACGGAGAGACCCGCACACCAAGAGGGACCCAGTGTCCTGAGTGAAGGAAAGAGCTGCTGTGGCTTCCAGGCCTGGGGCTCTTCCAGACCAGGGATGGCACTGGGGAGGGGCTACACAGCCCTGCCCCTCACAGATGGGCCCAGGTCAGGCAGAAGGGCTGCACCACTCTCCCACAGAGAGGCTTCCATCTGGGCCCAGGCTGACACGGTCTCCCACAAAACCCCTGTGATGGACGGCTACAGAGAAGGCCCCAGGCCGGACCACGCCAGCCCTGGAGCCTGGTGTACCACCCTGGCCTACCTCGGCCTGAGAAAAGAGGGCAGAGGGCCGTCGAGAGTGTTCCTCTGCTGAGGACGACCGGTGGGAGCCCCTGGCCCCCAGGGACCCCGTCACTGCCCACTGTGGTCGCCTGGCCTCAGGCTTCCTTCTGCTCCAGGGACCTGGCACCCGGGAAAGGTGGGCGGCGGGAAGAGGGGAGGGCGCAGGGAGGAGAGGGTGGGGGCGGGTGCAGCGTCCTCGCCAGTCCAAGCCCGCTGCGCCAGGTCTGTGGCGGAGGTCCGGCCTAGCGCCGGCCGGCCCGGTCACACGTGCGCGAACAAAGACAGCGCGCCCCACCGCCCCTCTCCCGCCCGGGGCGCCCACTCACCGGAGCTGTGCCGCAGGGGGCTCGGGCCCGGGGCCCACGAGCCACACAGCAACCCCCGCAGCGCGACGCGCCCCCAAAAGACTCGCATGACCCCGGGCCGCAGGCAGCTCCCCGCGTGTTGGATCCGGCCCAGACCCCGAGGGAGGAGCGGAGGGCGGTGCCGGGTTTGCGTCCTGCCCCTCGGCGCTGGCCCGCCCAGGACCCGGACCCCCTGGATTCCAGACGCCGACCCCAAGACCGCCAGGCACCGCCCTGAACCCAGCCCAACCGATCCCGGACCCCAGAACCCCGAACCAGCCCCGCCCCGCCCTGAACCCCATCCTGGGTACTGGACACTCGCCGCACTCCACCGCAGGGCCCCTGGCGCTCACAGGGCCCGTGCAAATGTTTAACGTTGATTTCCGTTAAAAACAGAATAAATGAAATACTAATAAGGAATCCAGCCTGGGTTATATGCGTCTTTATACCCAAGTAGTCGAAAAATGTCATTTTAAATATATTTTATGGAAGAAGGGCCAGGTATGCTAACGCTAGATCTTGTGATTTAATGAGTTTTTAAAACATCTGTATTGTGGTAAAATACATACAACATAAAGTTTGCCATGCTAGCCACTCTTAAGTGTCTGAGTCAGTGGCATTAATTGCATTCCCCATGTCGTGCAACCATCACCACTGTCTATTTCCAAATTTTGTATCACCTCCAACAGAAACTCTTCCTATTAACCAATAACTCCATTTTCCCTCCCCTCAGCCCCTGGTAATGTCCAATCTGCTTTCTGTCTCCATGCATTTGCCTATTCTAGATATGTCATGTAAGTGGACTCTCACAATATGTGGCCTTTTGTGACTGGCTTCTTTCACGGAAGGTGCCCTGGTGGCGCAGTGGTCAAGAGCTCGGCTGCTAACCAAAAGGTCGGTAGTTCGAATCCACCAGCTGCTCCTTGGAAACCTTATGGGGCAGTTCTACTCTGTCCTATAGGGTCACTATGAGTTGGAATCAACTTGACATAATGAGTTCTTTCACTCAACATGTTTTCAAAGTTTATCCATGTCATAGCATGTATCACAACTTCTTTCCTTCTTGTGACGCAAAAATACTCCCTCGTATCTGTACCCCACATTTTGTTTATCCATTCATCTGTTAATTGACACTTTGTTGTTTCCACCTTTTGCCGTCTGTGAATAACGCTGCAATGAATGTTGATGGATGTGATCACTAAGGTTGCGTGTTCACCTGGCTGGGCCATGATTCTCAGCGGTTTGGTAGTTATGGGGTAGTTTGGCAGTCGTATAATGATGTCATCACCTCCATGATGACATCTGCTATAATGTGATCACCTCTGTGATGAGATCCGTTGTGAGTAGCCAATCAGTTGAAAGGGAGTTTCCTTGGGTGTGTGACCTGCATCCAATATAGGTGGACTTTCTGGCAAGGCTCGAGGGCTTTTGCTCACTCTGGATCTTGCAGCTGGCTCCTATTCGCCTGATCTCCAGTTCTTGGGACCTAAGCTAGCAGCTTACCTGCAGTCTTACCTGCCGATTCTGGGATTTGTGGGTCATCGCAGCCTGTGAGCCAGAACCCTCTGTCTGATTTGCTGATCCTGGGTTTGCCAGCTGCTGCAGCTACGTGAATCAGGAGAAGCTCCCAGCATGACCCATGGACTTGGGATGTTCCAGCCTCTACAACCACGTGACCCATTTCCTTGATATAAATCTGTCTATACTTTACTGGTTTTGCTTCTCTAGAGAACCCAGCCTAAGGTAATGTACAAGCAAATTTCAACAAATTTCAAATGATTGAAATCATACATGTTCTCTGTCCACTGTGGAATTAAATTAGAACTCAAAACAGAAAGATAACTAGAAAATACCCAATATTTGGAGATTAAATGACATAGTTTATAATTCCTGGGTCAGAGAAGAAACCATAAGGAAATTAGAAATATTTTTAGTTTAATGATAATGAAAATACAACATCAAAACTTGTTGGGGGGGGAAGCTTGTGGGATACATTTAAGATTCTTCCATGATGTTGCATAGATTGATAGCTCTTTTCTTTTTTTTTTTTTTTTGCTGAGTAGTGTTCTCTTATGTGGATATTCCATTGTTTATCTATTCACCTGTTGCAGGATGTCTTGTTTGCTTCTAGCTTTTGGTGACTGTAAATAAAGCTGATATAAACACTTGGATAAAATTTTTTGTATAAACATAGGTTTTCAGATCAGTTGGATAAATATCTAGGAGCATAACTGCTGGATTGTATCGTAAGACTATATTTAGCTTTCTAAGAAACTGCTGAATGCACGTTACCATGTGAAAGAAGCCAGTTCAAAAAGGCTACATACTGTGGGATTCTATTTATACCACGTTCTGGAAAAGGCAAACCTCTAGAGACAATAAACAGATCAGTGGTTGCCAGGAGCTTGGAGAGGGAGGGTTAAACAGGTGAAGCACAGTGGATTGTTAGAGCATGAAACTATTGTGATACTGTAGTATCAGATGCATAATACAGTGTGTTGTCAAAACTTATTGATCCTTACAGCATAAAGAGTGAACTTCAATGTATGCAAATATAAAAATCTGTTAGGAGATTAGGAGACCTCAGGGTGGAATGCAGACTGTGAGAAAGACTGTAATTGTATTACAAGTACATGCATCCCCTCACTGAAAGGGCTGGGGAGAAGGTACTACCTGTGTAGCTTTGGGCGTGAGGGCAGACTGTAAGACTAAAGACAAAAGGAATTGCACATAAGCACTGTACTCCGGTTGGTAAAGTTGTTTCCCACAGGGGTACAGGTTAACAATTCTGAAGCCACCGTGCATGTACACTAGGATTGAATAAATAAATAAATGGATGGTGGATGGTGGGAGGCAGGTTTTTCACTGTTGGAGCTGGAGGTTACAGACAAGCCAACGGAGAAGCCTCCTGCCCTGGTAACTGTCCCTGCCCCTGTCACCCACTGCTCCTACCCAATGGAGGGGGACCAGGACATTTTTTCTGCCATTAAGACTGTGACCTGGGCCCTGCCCTGATCACTATGCTCCAATGCAACTGGACCTCTTCCCACACCCACTGCAGGCCAGGAGCCCTGGGGTCACTGCCTTGAGCCTTCATCTTTAGAATCCTGTGCTCAGGACAGCAAGAGCTCACTTGTCCAGACAGAATGGGGATAAGTAAAAACCATATAGCAAACTTTCTAAAATGCTGACGTTTATTCAAGCATAGTTCTAAGAGTACAGATCTCCTACTTTTTGGGTGGAAAATGACCTTTTCTTTATGAAATAATGGAAACCTTGGTGGTGCCGTGGTTAAGAGCTCAGCTGCTAACCAAAAGGTTGGCAGTTCAAATCCACTAGCTGCTCCTTGGAAACCCTATGGGGCAGTTCTACTCTGTCCTATAGAGTTGCTACAAGTTGTAATCGACTCCATGCAATGGGTTTGGTTTTTTTAGTTTTATGAAATAATAATAACAGATGATAGTTGGGCTTTAGTTTGTTATTTTTTCCAAAAATTCAAAAAGATTCACAAACCCAATGTCGGTCTCAAAATCTTGGGGGAGACTATTCCTGTCCATGAAACCCAGAGGTCTGGGCACCCCTAGTCTAGTTTATCCTGACAAGTTGGGGCCCACCCGGGGCCAAAGAGGGACTGTGACACCCTCTCCCATCAGAGGGTGAGGCCCAGCTCTGCTCTTGGAAACCTGCAGTGGGGTCGGGGCGGGGCGGCAGGACACCCATGTCTATACAGCAGACAGAGGGAAGGGTTCATTCCAACCTGGGGGCTGGGAGAGGGTCCACGGGAAGAAGGTTCCTCACAAGGCCTGGCACACAGGAAGCACTGGGGAAGATGGGTGGTAGAGGAGGCTTTGACCTGGACCAGCGGGGACGGGACAGGGAGAGACAGCCTAGAATGTCTGAAGGCCTCAAACAATCCTACACTCTGCAGGGATGAGTATCTGCCTCTGGCTGGATGGAATATTTGTTTAGGGAGCAGTGGAAGATGAGGCCAGAGAGCCAGCCTGGCTGGTGGTAGAGTCGCACTCCTCGGGGGCACCCCAGGAGAAGCGTTTGGGGAAGGAAGGCTTGAGCAAGCAGGGAGGCAACTAGGCCAAGAAGGGCAGCAGGGAGAACTGGCAGCACTGCTTCCTGTCAACAGCTGTGGGTCCAGGAGTCTCGGAGTGTCCCTGGAACCCAAGTCTTGCGGTTCTCCCACTGGACATTTGGATAAATTAGATTTTTCTTTCTTTTGTTATACTTTTGAGCTTTTTATCCAAAGCATACTTAGTAATAATGCTCCGTGCAGCCAGCCCTCAAGCACATGGACTGTCTGGGAACAGCCCCCCTCCAGCAGCCAGGGTGATAGCAGTCCATGCTTCCAGGCTCACACCCAGAGACGGGGTGCAGTGAGTGGAGCTGAGGGGGCTCTGGTTCATCTGGAAATGGGATACATCCATGTGGCCCAGTGTTATGGATTGAATTGCTGGAGGTTCGCGTCCACACAGAGGCACCTCAGAAGAAAGGCCTGGTGATCTACTTCTGAAAAATCAGCCATTGAAAATCCCATGGAAGCACTTCACCAAAGAAGACATTCAGGCAGCTAACAGACACATGAGGAAATGCTCATGATCGTTAGTCATTAGAGAAATGCAAACCAAAACTACAATGAGATATTATCTCACCCCAACAAGGCTAGCATTAATCCAAAAAACACAAAATAATAAACGTTGGAGAGGCTGTGGAGAGACTGGAACACTTATACACTGCTGGTGGGAATGTAAAATGGTACAATCACTTTGGAAGTCGATTTGGCACTTCCTTAAAAAGCTAGAAATAGAAGTACCACATGATCCAGCAATCCTGCTCCTTGGAATATATCCTAGAGAAATAAGAGCCGTCACACAAATAGATATACGCACATCCATGTTCATTGCAGCACTGTTCACAATAGCAAAAAGATGGAAACAACCTAGGTGCCCATCAACGGATGAATGGATACACAAATTATTATAGATCCACACAACGGAATACTACACAACGATAAAGAACAACAATGAATCCATGAAACATCTTATAACATGGAGGAAACTG